TCAGGTTTCGTTGCTGACTCAGCAGGACTAGTAGCAGTTGTCTCCTGAAAGAGATGGAAAAGAGAATGACTCAAAGTAGAGACAAACCATAATATGTGTAGCTGCTAGTAGTAGCACAACTGTTGTGTTCTCAGGCAAGGCAATTTACACCTAATTCCTCACTCAACTCAAAAATGAGTACGTATCTTCAGGTAGGGACATGCTCTTGGATTGGGGCGTAAAGCCGGATGTCTCATGTTTGAGGAGCGCCACACCTCAACCATGTTAAAGATCCCACAACACTTCTCATCGAAAAGAGTACTTGTCCTTACCAGTATGAGTGGTTCAAACCTAACAGTCTGATCTTACACAACTTGTACTTACTGTACGAAACTGGTTTGTTATGCCAAAAGGCAGTTTACCAGTTATGCAAAACAAACATGTCAAACAAACTAGGGACACAAGAACAAATTTCAACATCTCACCACGGACTTCTTGCTGAGGTCACTGAAGTTTGGGCTGGTGGGCTCGCTCGTGGTCGTCTGTTCGTCCTCAGCGGGCGCGGGACTCTGTGGGTGTGAGTCAGACAGAGATTGCCTGTCTTTGTCCAATGATGTTTCACACGTGCTCTGAATCGGTGCAACAGCGAAGCGGCGGTTAAACATTTCAGCAAGCATGGCAGCAAGGAATGGCTTTGAGTTTGTGAAATAAAGAAGCACACGATCACACAAACACACTGCTTGCAGTCTAGGGGGGGTCCGGGGGCAAATTTTGGATTTTCAAGCCTTTAAAAACGTAATTCCACACATTTTGAGAGGCAAATCATGGGGTATATGTTTTAATATTTTTACCAAAGATTTTTGTCCATGAACGTTGACGGATTGGTTTAAAACGTTTCCCGTAATATGCCACAAAGTTCCTGCAATTGACGGAAAAAAGAGTGCGGGCTAGAGTCCTGGCACACACACACACCCTACCCACAGTGATATGCATAACTACAGTTGAGCCTCACCACAACTCTTTCATTCATGTTCTGACCAAAGATGAAGGAAGGGGCTGCGGCTCCGCTGGTGGGCGAAACCGTGGTGACCGTACAGAGGGGCGGAGCCTTCTGACCGAAGACGGCGGGCGTCGCGTTCACATCTGTCGTGGCCGTGGTGGTAACCGGCGCCGTCTGGGTAGACGGTGACGTTGTGGTAGCCGTTTCCAACGAGCTGTAAAACAATGTGTAAAAATTGAGAACAATCAGCAACAACTGCCTGTATTTCATTTAACTTTGCCCAATCTAAGCTATATTCATTGTTACATCTGGTTTCATGGCATAGCACTACCACCTACCTTGTTGCTGAGAACTGCAGGAAGTAATTTTCATGGTCCTCACTCTCAGCCTTTTCTTTATTTGGTGGTTCCTCCTTCTCTGGAGACTGTGTTTTCTGTACACACAAGAAAACTGGGTCACAACCAGAAAGTCTAAACCCTTGGATTTTCAAAGGCACGAAGTATGGGATTCACAAGATAAAGGACGAATGGAGATACAAATTCATTTGATTCCAGTCACTTAGTACAGTGTAGAGTCCAACCTGTCTAAAGTCAAACCACAAAAAACTTTCACGATAGTACAGAAATATACGTATAATGTACAAGCCTTGAAAGTGCATGTACTGACCGGGGTAGTGACCACTCTCTCCTCCAGTTTCTCCCCAAAGACAAAGCCAGGAGTAGGCTCGGCAGGCTGGGCAGCTGTGGTACTAGCTTCTGCAGCACTGCTACCATTACTGGAACAACAAGCATGGAGATGAGTTGGTATACTTACCTATGGTAAAATATTTCTGTACAGTACTGATGGTAATGATACAAACAATAACAAATTGTAATAAAAGTCATTCAACTGTCTTATCTAGATATCTATACCAGTAGCTTCTCTTCTCTATCAGTATCAAGTTTGTCATTGAACCTGCATTGCTAATAATTCCTTAGCATTTCACTGCCATTTACAATATTCTTCTTCTTACCATAATGATCCTACCTTTGGCCAGTGTCAGCGTAGGCTTTGCAGTCAAAAGTGGTACATACAAACACGTGCACACAGGCAAAAAAGAAAATAACAGAAAATAACACGAATGTCCAGTTTTTCCTTTCCTGACCTTTTAGTGTTCTGGAACTGTAAGAAGTAATTCTCGGGTGGTGCGGCATCAGAAGGTTCTGAAGACTCCTTAAACCCCTTCCTGCTGTCCTCTTCTTCAGAAGACGTTCCAGTGAACATCCCAAATATCCTCCTGGGCTCCTGCTCCGTGGAATCAGTGGTGGACTCGGGAGTCGGGGTTTCAGGCCCAGAATCTTCTTTCTTCGCCTTTTTTGTTTGATGTTGTTCATCGTCGGAACATTCGCTTGCTCTTTTCCTGGACTGTTGTGGCTTGGAGCTTGGAGGGTCCTGAACAGAACACATGCAAATATAAACTCCTCATCTCTGCTACACTCAAAGTTTCCTATATTATGAAACAAAGTTACTGTTTCTCTGACAGACGAAATATCCAAGATTATACATGTACAGGTATACACATATCTTTGACACCCAAAAGCAATTCAGAAGCCTTTACAGATACAACTATGACATTATTTGGAGTACGCTTACCGAGATGAAATCTTTTATCATATCTTTCGTATCCTGTAATCCTTACCTCCTCAGCCTTGGCCACTGGCTTGTCTACTCCGTTGCTATCAGCTTCTGGGGGATCTGGGTAGATCAAATTCAAACAACACTGTTTTGCTTCACCGTTTCAGCATATTCTCTATCAAAGGCTTCAACATTTAGATTTACTGAACTAGAGTATTAGAAACTTATTCCTTTACCAAATTATACCTACCTACTAAACCTTTTATTGCAAGGCTCCTAGGAAATCTCAGAGCTATGTCCACATCTTACCTTTTCTTACTCCAGCCTCGCCAGGTACCTGTAGAGTTGCTGGCCTTAACTTGAAAGCTGATTTCACAGGTTTTGTGTCAGAAGAGCCTGAAGAAACAACAATAATGTCTGTCTTAGCAAGAGTGACAATTCCTTTTTTTATAGTAAAGGTATTTAACCCTTATCAATATAGTAAAGGCATATGTACACCACACATGTATGAGTACGTGAGAAATAGGTCCTAACCACCTCATGTACAACATCTAGTATTAAGCAACAGATAATATCATGAGAGAGGTTTCATTCTGAGATCCAGCATGCATACAATACAATAGTGCTCCTATTAAATCTCCTATTCCTAGTTTGTTAGTACAACACTAGTATACTTTGCACTGAAAAGAATTCCATCTTAAGAAAGAAAGAAATATGTAGTATTGGTAGGGCCAGCATTGTTTCTGTGTGTCCAGTAACAAGATGAAGACTATTTGCAATACAAGATCAAAATCAGTTGAAATTGCTAACAAGCAAGCAAAAGTACCAAAATGAATCCAGCAGGCTTAAACTTAAACATATATAGCAAACTGCAGTTCTTTCCAAATCAGTTTATCCTTCATCTTAGCTACTCTGGAAGCAACTCATCTTTGCACAACTGGCATCCCATCAGCAAAAATACTGGTAAACATTATGTACCAAGAGTATACATGTACATGTATGAACCTGTGCAGAAATACATGCAAAATTCCAATTTTACCTTCACTTACCTGACTATGCAGGTAGCATTTTCAACCCTGACAGATATGTGTGTTTTGGGGATGTGGACTTCATCAAAAGGGTTTAATATTTCAAGAAAAAAATATGCCCCAGCAACACTCGCAAAAACTAGCCTCACCAAAAATAGCGCATTCCACTGCAAAGATGATGTAATTGGATTAACCTAATGAATTGAAAAATATGCCCCCAGTAAAGTTTGGAAAAAACAAAAAAAAATTCTTGACCACCCTAACCATAAGGACACATGAAGTACCGTGGCAGTACCACAGCCAACCAACCTGGTGCGACACCGGAAGCGGACGCAAATAAAGGAAATGAGGAGGGGGCGGTGGAGTGTGCCAGGGTTGCGGACAAACGGGACGGCCTGAGGAAGGAGGGACGGTTTGCCGCGCCGTGAAAGTCGTGACCGTCACAGCTGCTCTCGTCTGCGGAGAGAAGAAACCAGACCGACTCGCGGTCAGACCTAAAAATGTCTTCGGCTCCAGGAAAAAAAATGTACCTAAGCAGGGCTCCAGACTAACTTTGTGACTTTAGGAGCACAACCCTAAAAATTTGGGCGCACCAGCAAACATCTATGTACAACTTACAAGGTAGATCATGGCATCAAACATTAATTTGCAGAACATTTATATTGTGTTTTTTGTACATGGAGATGTACATGTTTTCCGTACATGGAGATTCACAAAGTGGAAATATCGTGATCAGTGGGCAAGAGAGCAAATGTGTAGTGACTGTCATGATATGACTGTTAAGCTTTGCAGTCCATGATATAGACATTATGATGCATGAAAGTTCTGTTTCCAATAAAAAGAATCCATAGGCAAACGACTGAATTAATGGGAGCATGTGCTCCTAAAATAGGAGCAGTCTGGAGGGCTGCTAAGGTACCACAGACATCCCTGTCTTGGCACAGACACTGTCTAGCACACAGCCACTGACTGAAGATCACATGCAGGCTTTACGTTCGATGCACAACAGCAAATCATTTGAATCCTGCTTGCAACAAAACTGAGAATTTTTAAAGGTATCGAACAGCATAAGAATAAGACATTCATTATAATGCATGAGTGAGAAAAGCTGTGCATGTGTGCCCCAGTCAGTTGGGAACATCTACTCCCAATTATGCCACTTTTTCATCACACAAACTCCAATCTAAGGATGACATCTGCCTGTGCATTCATTTTGGTTAGCCAAAAAACAGCAAATACTGAAGACAATACACTGTACATCTCCCGAAACTATGGAAAAATGAGAACAAGTTCAATTGTTTCCAAAAGCAGTTTCATCAGGTTGGTAAAGTATAGGATACAGGAGAAGCACTGAGGAAGGTGTCTGATAGACACAGTGAAACACCAGCACTTGAGGTGAGAAAATTTGGTTGTGTAAAAGAAAACTCCTGTATCCAAGGTTTATTTGTTTTTCTTGCTCTCTCTCCAGTCAGATATGACATTCTCAGATGTCATCCGTCGGCAGAAGTTTGTGAGGCCTTGTGGGAAGGCCGTACCTGAGGTGTAACCAGACGACCAGACTGTTCTGTGGGAGGCATAGTTGGGTGCATGCTTCATTGCAAACGTTCGTGGGACACCTAGGAGAGACACAGCATACAACGCATCAACAAGCTGTGCACAGTGACTGCAAAATCATAAATCTTGTATTGTAAGGATTTCTGTCATAAGGAAAACTCATCATCATAGTCCTTGTCATCAATGAAAACTATATCCAACTATATTGAAGATTTTTCCTTGTGAGGCAATATAATGTCATAAAATATTTACTAAATGATAAATCAACACTTGTGTAAGTTGTGTTTTAAAAAAATATGGGTCTTACTTGATGATTCTGGAGGGAATGATGCAATGTGCTCTCTAACATTGGCTGAAATTGAAAAGAAGGGGGAGGTTTATTATATGAAAAAATCCATCCTGAATCAGTGGTCGAAATACTTTTTTTCAGTGCTCTGCAATATTGCAGAAGAGTCAAAATTTTGTTCTGCAATTTGGAAATACTTTCTGCAAACGCACAAGCCTCCATACTACAATCCTGCAAGTTTATAAGCATGAACTATTGATTGATATGCAAATTAGTGAAGACAATTTTTGGAAGTCCAAAAAGAAACAAAAGATAGACAAGGTTAATGCAAATTAGTGAAGAAGCTCCTGTTGTTTCAGAACAGGAGCTTAAGTGTTGTCTGTCCTTGGGGCCAAGAGCGCCAAATCCCAAGTGCCAATTTTTCCTGCTGCAAAATTGCAGATTGTATAAATTTTTCTTCTGCAATCTTGAAAATCTATCTGCAGATTGCAGACTGCAGACAGGTATTTCGAACACTGTGAATCAAGAAATCAATACAAAATGTCTGTCAATTTACCTAAAATCCAATACACAGGTAATTTTGACTGATTGAACTGCATTCAGTTTGCATTGTGCATTAAAATACAAGTGTAGAAAAAATGAGTAAAACTAAGAAATCTGAAAAAAGAAGAGACTTACTGTCCTCACTGTCTGAAGCTGGCTCACTGCCAGAACCCTGAAACAGAAATGAACTGGTCAGCACTAATCAACGAAACATCATAAGATTAAACAAGCGTCATACTTACTACCTTTCCCCTCGTAAATCCTAAAATCTAAGGGCCATTATGTAAAACTTTTGCAAAAAAATTAAAATATTTCATTGAAAAAAATTCTGATGCAAACACAGCCTACACAAGATGCAGTCAGGAAGTAAACAGACATGTTTTTGTCAACTTTTAAACACACTAAGGAGAAAATATTTTGGCACATCCACTTCCTGAATGGCACTTACTTGAAATGAAGTAGGGTTTAAACCAGAAAATTTACTTTCTGTATCGTCCTAATTTTACACAATGCAGCTTTAACTTCCAATGCATGGCATTTAGACATTTCTGACTATACAACTCCAGTCTTTATCAAGAATCAGTGCTTGAAGCTTGTAGGTACTGTTCCCTGTTTAACATGTAGAGATGTAAATACTTTGCATTTCGGAACGCATCTATTGTCAGAATTGACCAATCAGAATTGCCCTGAGAAAGGTGAAAAGACAGTCACCGAAATGTGGCTCAATCAACCTCTTGAAAGTAAAAATACTCTCTTTAATCTGCTTGAAACTTAAGTTATAAGCATTTGTTGCATGATGCCATCTACCAACACAGCTGAACTTTGCTACCCTGTGAAATGGAATGTGTCCTCTCTGTAACCTTCCTAGTCAGGCAAGGTTTCAGGACAGGCTGATGGATGGATATAACATTAGCCTGACCAAGTCGGTTGGATTGGAAAGGCTCATACAATAGACATCAATAACAGGATGCATATTTCAAAACCCATTCTCATTACGAAGCTCACATAAGTCAATGGAGGTTGACATAAAGAGGGCATGTTTAAGGCCATAGCATCCACTTCCTTATTACTGTAATTCCTAAATTTTTCGCAGCACTGTTTTCACTCTTTCTTCTGTACCAAGAGTTTATCATTAGACATTACTGTTACAAAATTATTTGTCTCTTGCCCCTCTTTCTGCACTTGGCATCACCATAAATTTTAGCTAAGAGCTCCCATGAAGATAAAGTGATCTACAGTACATGAATATGCTTGACACTTCATGTTGGTGAGTGGGTAGCCATAGCCAGTACCAACCATAGCATTTCAAATGCGCTCTTATAATATAATCAGTCATATTTGGTGTGTGGCTTAAGGTCCTGAAACAGATAAAATGATGGTCCTACCTTGTCAGAACTGCCGTAGACAAACCGTGCCGGTGCAATGGCTGGTTTGGAGGCCTCACCTCCCTCACCTGACAAAAAATAAAGAAATCTGCTGTCAAATTAATCTGGCATTATCTATGGTTTCTGCAGAAACCCCATCTAGACCCTCCCTCAGGAAAATGTGCTTCTGGCAAAGTTCCAGAAACATATAGGCTACAAATCCATGAGATTCAAGATCATTCTGGACCAATTTCTGTAGAAAGTAAACAACTGCAGTGCCAGATTATATACATGAACCTTCAAGCAACAGATGGAAGGGGCGATCAAGCTAGAACAGACTTCTTCTGCACAAAAATCTAACCCTTTTACAATTTCTCTAGCATTTTAAGAGAAAGGTTTTTCTTCTGAGCCATAGTATGATACATAGACCACACAACTGACAACAGCATGACAAGATTTAGGGCAGTGAGCAACCCATGTATAGTTGCTATGGCTACCAAGGTCACCAATTATGGGATATATATGGTGAACCTAATTTTAGAAAATTAGCTGGAACTGGACTGATAACCTTGCTGGGGAGGGGGGTGAGCAATACACTTGAGATCTTTATTCTAACTGTCAGCTTGTCAGAAAGATGTTACAACAACTATCATCTTCGTTCTTCCTCTTTTAATTACATAAATTTCAAGTGTCCCATACTCCATTATCCAAGCATCTGCATATTATTATTACAAAGGATTTTCAGATGTCTTTTAACATAAAATCATGCTAAACCTGGACGATTCTGAAGTCAAAGTTCTGCAGAGTAAAGCAGCACATTTTGTAACATGATCCACTTGCTGTGTAACACAGCTCCTCAAATAAAGTAGGTCAACCTACATGTACATATGTACATTTAAAGACTATGTATGTACATTTGGAGTTGTGTACTATATTGTACAAGAACAATGCAGAATTGGGAATTTCAAGCCTATATGTGTACGTATAATAATATATACAGTATGACTATGAGGTATGTACAATTTGGAGTTTATGTATTGTACTGTACATACATGTAAACAAGGCAGAATCAGTAGGTGACCTCCCCAACTATCAGTCAGTAATTTTAGGCTTAATAAAGACTTCCTTGACTACTTATGTATCAAAAAGTGACAAAAACCTTTCAAGAATGAACACACATACCTTCTATGACTGAGCATTTTACCTGAATGATCACTCTATGCAAGACTTGGCAAACATTCAAACATCAGTGACTTTCACTTTTCTGTTTAGCCTGATTTGGTCAGACATCTTCCACTGATCAGGCCCCTTGAGGAGACTCCTGGGCCCATTCTGCTAATCTCCAAGCAGAGGTTTGGGCTTTGGCTTATTTGTGGCGAGTTTTTCTTTTTGTACTGGTAATATCTTAACTTAAGTTATGCCAGCCCTTCGGTGTGGCCAATGGTATTACTCAGTCGTTTACTGTTTGGCAAATGGATACTGCCTGGCCAGTTTGATACAGTTTGCAGCCACCAAAAAAAATCAGCTTGGACATTACCATTCTGCCCCTGGCAGCAAGAGATTGTGTAACACCAACTACCTGTATATAATATATTCAGTTCAGTGGACATGAATGCAAATAATACTTGTCAGCATGCGCATAAATCAACATCTTCGTGCCTTGAGGTGGTTTAAAGGTTGTGCATTGCTAACACACTGATTTTTATAGTGCAACAAAATACAGTATCTTACAATCCTGCTTTCTGCACACTTATTTTTGAGAATTTTTGTGTTTACTGCTGATTCTATGATAGTTATCTTGCATATATTTCTCAATTCCCATGTTAAATGTTTGCAAACTTGCAATTTTGAATATGCCATACACAAGTCTGAACCTGAACCTAAACATTTGGACTTGAATCTGGACCTATACCCAAGTTTAGGTATACATCCCTACTTAATGTAAATATTGGGCTGAGAGGTTTGTACTATGGAGGCTTGTGTATTTGCAGAAAGTATTTCCGAATTTTGACATTCTGCAATACTGCAGACCACCAAAAAAAGTACATGTACCATTGGTGGGTTCCTGGAAAGGTGTGATAAAATGACAAGTCCTCAATAACGACTGGTGCCCTACTGCTGCTGCCCTCCCATCGAGTTATGCACTCATTCCATCACTTAACATGTCTGGGTCAAAACAATACGTGAACTCCTATCAGCTGTCACTCCAAAAACAAGGCTTGTCGGCTATCTGTGGTTACCAAACCTATTTTACTTTTTCGGTGTTAAGTCTCTTTCTTCTCAGTTTGCAAAGTTGATCACCTTCAGGCTTCAGCAGATTTATATTCATTTTTACAGCTTTCTCAGATTCTTAAAAAAAGTATGTTAGTGAAGGTTAGACATCCAGATAGAACAAATTACATAACACAAAATAGATCAAGCAACTGGATACATTTTCAGAGATCATATAGCAGACTTTCTTTTATCTGTGACCGAGCAAGGACGAAAAGTATCCATGCAGGGCTTTAAAAGAGATTACGAGATAGGCAAAAGCTCTCCATAGTCCAGAACAGGTTGGGAAACAGTCTATTAGTATTAGTAAGCCAATTAGGTCTGCTGGGAGAGAAGGTTAATGCACCCAGTGGGACATGGGAGGCCATGTGACACTTTGTCTCCTTTTACTTCCTTTCAAAGGCACTGGCAAGTACGTAATATTGGCATACTAAAATAATTATTATTAATGTGGATTTAAGGCTAGAGATAGGTAATGTATAGTGATGTATCAATAGCATTTTATAATGCACATCTATAATTTACTTTTGAAGATTTGAAGTCTCTAAAAAATATGGAATCAGCCATGTTGATTTTTATTACATTTCCTCTGATTGTGTAGTGGTAACTGCATGTGAAATTTCATCTGATCTTATCTGTAAGGTCAAGAAACGGTATACTGCAAACAAAAATAAACTGTGCAAATATCATAGAGGAGAAAAGGATCACATACCAGGCATTATGACTTTATCGTCAAAATACACCCATCACAGATTATGTTAATCAAGTATCGTCGACAGCTACAGCTACAGCAACAGGGTAAGATCTGATGATAAGATGTAATTGTGTAGTCTTACCTACATCTTACCTTTGTTTCTAATGACACTAGAGCAACAACCTGGCGGCAAAAACTTGCACACGGTCTTTACACTTGCACTTTGATGCATCACCGCGCCTTTGCGCTCAAGAAAAACGTGCGCCATGATCAGTCACATGCACAAAGGCTGACAAGATTGGCAGACGGCCCGCGGAATGGTAAATATGGCCCGTGAAGAGCCTTGCACTTATCCGTGGTGTATTCTTAATGTGTTGTACACAAATCGGAGCAAGCCGGCTAAGACCGGAACCAGCGATCAACAAAATACAGGGCGCTAAACGCGGCTCATTTCCTCTCCTGCTCGGCCCTGGCCGCTCAACTTTACGGCTCAAGAGTCTACAGAAGGGAAAAAATATTTCTATGCTCCCGCCTAGCTGTAAAGCAAGGTATGGATTGTCATGGAGGGCGCATGCGAAAGAGAAACAAGTTCCAGTATTTTTCCACTCCTCACCTGCAACACCAGCGTCCGCCATGATGGGCTTTCTTTTCTCCCGTCATGCCTAGCGCGGACCCTAGAGTAATCTGAAACGCGGGCTGTAATTGGCTCTTTTTGTGCAGCTCTGATGAAAGACTCTTTAGTATTGATCCAATCAGAATATTCGTTATGAAGTGATTTCTGCAGTCGGCGGTGCCTCATTTTTCGCGGGAAATTGAAATACCCATGAGAATATGATAAATCAGCCTTTGGTCAATTAAATGGAGACTGCATGCCCTTTTTCAAAAACCTTTATTACAGATTTGCAAAAAACAAAACCTCTTCTGTTTTACCATTAGGGCAATGAGCGCCGCCATGTTGATTATGACATCATGGTTCAGCCATTTTGGGCACTTTGCTTGTAAGGTCTTTTCCAATTTCAAAATAATCAGCATTAATGTGTTGATAATTGAACAGGTCAATAAGAAGAAGTACATGATTTATTACACTGTGTCATATTTATTTCGGTCATCACTTTTTGTTTACATAAAATCATTCCCAGTTAAACGTTAACGGGGGGTGTCCTAATTCCGACCTACCCCTAATTCCGTACTAGTTTGAAAAATCCTTGTCGCCGCGCTATGCATGGGAGCACGTGCCTATAAATAACCACAAGAATGGACAAAGTTTCTGTGTTGATATCGGTATTCTCACAAAGTTTGTTCCAGTTCGCACGCTCCGATAACAGACGATTGAAAAATCTGTATAGATTCGACGCTTGTTCGGGGGTTGACGAGCGTGTTAAAAAACGCAGCTTTGATTTTGAAACAGCCGCTTTGGAGCAAGTAGCGTAATGGTACAAAGAAGACTTGTTTGGGACAGAAAAATAGTTATAGATTGTTTTAGTCATAATTTGTGTATTTTAGATACCTAACTCTCTCCTCAGATTGGACTTTGTTAGATACTAGGTCGGAATTAGGGCACCCCTTTTGCGATAGAACGTTCCACCGGCAGAATGACGAAAAACCTGCCGTAAGTTTCGCGAACCATTACGCTTGGGTGCAAGGCGCCACACTAAAGTGAAATACACAGCTATTTAGCTTTAATCGTTGTTATCTTTATCTGTAAATATTATAGCTCGTATTAGGCGGGTTTTTGGTGAGACAAACCATTACCAAAGGTATGTGCGTTTGCATGGAACATAGGTCGGAATTAGGACCCCTCCCGTTACATTTTATGATCACATCAATATCCTTTTATTCAAATTATAGTTAACGTTATGCATTGAGGACAGCCAACAACCTAAGCAACTTCAATCAACAGTAACTTCTAGCTAAAGTACACAAGACGGCATTGAGTAAAAGCCACCCCTTGTGTGTACATCATTTCTCGTTACTACAGTGTTACAAATGGTTATTGTAGTTACACATGTAACTTTATAGAATTACAGTAACGTTATAACTGTTATGTAGTTATAGATGTCAGAATATCGTAGTAAATGGACGGGACTATCTGTCCAGCATTCCAACAGCCTGTTCTTAGGTAGGTTTACGGAAAAACCTGGGCTGTCTACCTTACCAGGCTACCTTACCAGTCTACCTTGCCTGTCTAGGACGTCAGGCTACTGAACTCCCCCCATCCACAGCCTCACGAACAGCAAGACTTCCAAGCAGCTGCGCCCCCTGGCGGAATGCATCAGAATTGCACCCACTACTTTGGCACGTGCGTGTGCACAAACCTTAGGCCTGTGCAGCATGGTAATCTCCAAGCAGATTTTTCGGTGGCAAGACAGTATCCATTGGCCAGAGGAGTGTCCATTAGCTTTGGTTGGCTAATGGATACAGGATGGCCAATGGATACTGTTTTTGCCACCCAACCGAAAGATCTGCTAGGAGATTACAGCATGGAGATAACATAGCCTGACTAATCGCGCTCCTGGCGGTCGGCCGCCCCGAAGTGGGTGGGGGTCATTAACCTCTTGTGTAACACAGGCTAGGAGTTAAACACAGCAAGAGATCTAGAAATAAACTGAGCAGGATGTTATATTATGTTTCATTTCATTTTATCTAAAGTAATCAACAGTAACAGGGAAACGGATGTCGTGGTTACTTTGAGAGCGCACGGGTCGGAGTGTGTATTGCATCAGAACAGGGTGAACTTTTGACCGAAGCGCGGGGGCAGCATTGTCCGTGCCGCACATCTGTAGAGAATCATAGGGACTGTACAATATTTACCGG